TGGTTAGCAGACTTGGCTGTACTTCTTCCGACACAGATATGGTTAGTCTTCTGGTAGTCCATGGTACTTTTAATATTCTTTGTCAACACCATAATTCAAGTGCATCACCATTTCTATGGTCTCCTTACTTATAGTTCAACTTTCACTTGCAAATGAGATAATCGAACATACCATGGCTTGAGTCAAGTGCACTTTATTCCTCAAACTAATATCTTTGATCTTAAACACTTTAACAGGTCTTTTGACATAGATTTGCCAACTGCAGTTGAGAAATCAACCAACCTATTAAATAATTGGGCAATTCTGCAAAAAGGCAATCTATAATGTTAAAGAGTAAAGATGTAATTTTCAGGACTAAAATGTACCTGATCCAACCTGGATTATGAATAAGCAAGACCAGAAGAGAATTGATAAATTTTAATTCATGGAAAAATTGAATGAAAAGAATGGAATTTGTCCACAAGCTTTTTGAAGCCTCCTCATGTTTTTTACATATGTAAAGTCTAATCTCAATAATACAAAGTAGAAAATAAAAATTATCCATGATTTCCACTATACCAGAATAGTCATTGTAACTTTTTTGGGTATTTAGGCTGTTTCCAATTATAAAAAAATATTATGTATAAAGTAACAATATAACAGATGAATCCCTGAAATTTTAGCAGGTTACCACAGGAGAATTTCATTTCTGGCTCATATACAGTCCAGTATATCTTTAAATGATGATCCTGGAATCGCAGATTCCTTTCATAGTATGGCTCTGCCATCTTGGGCATGAAGCTTCCAAGGTCACTATGGGAAAGGAAAGAGCGTGAATAATTACTAATAATACAAACCTGGAATGAGAACACATCACATCTCACACATTCCATTGGCTAGAACTTAATCACACAGTCATCTTTAATTCCAAGTGGGGCTGTGAAATATAGGTTTGCTCTGTTCCCTATAAGATGAGGAAGTGGGGTTGGTGGTCATCAAATAATATCTGCCACATATTGAGTGTAGCTAATCTCCATGGGTAAATTTACTCACATTCATAGTTACTTCTTCAAGAGAAATTTTCAGAAGTCCTGAATACTTTTATTATTTTTAAATATTTTGAACAGATGTAGGAGTCTTAACCCTTCTTCTTATTTCCAAGAAGTAGGATGAATATATTAGCATTCTTGTCAGGAATTCTCACTTACTAGAACTTGTTGAGAAAAAATCATGTATCAGTAGACTTCCTGCCCTATGATCATTTACCTAATGTATGTTAGCTTTAAAACACACTATTGATGAAAAAACTGTAGTTTACATATGTATTTTTGTGTACATACTTTATTAAACATAGTGTGTAAATATGTTTGAGTTATTTTTAGAGACATATTCATATTTCTTCATCACAAAAGTTTGGGGATCTTAAAGAGAATCATTTATTTCTTTGACTGTAAATTTCTTTTGAAAGGTCATAAAAAAATTTTCAATTCATCTAAGATAACTTAAATATTCAAATTATATAGCTCTGAATTTTGTAATTTTTTATTCATACAAGTCTCTCCAAAATTATTTTCTATTCATTACTTATTCCACTAAAATTCATAATCAACAAAAATAAGCAGCAAACAAAGAGAATTCCTACAAGGATGAATATAATTTTCTGGAGTCTGAAATATTAAGTGTCAGCTGTATTTAATATATATTTGCTCTCTTGTTTCCTATCCCATGGAACCAATTCATGGAATTTACCATTTCTTAAAGATGATGTGTTTTGGTCCCTGTGCCTTTTCAATTGTCCAAAATTTGATTACTGCTTTTCTTCCTTTTGACACTTTTTTCCCTGGCTTCTCTTTGACTTATTGTGTATTTGTTTCACTTGTTTATAGAATGGATATTTTCACACAGTTTACTGCACATTTTTGTTATTTGTCCACAAGTACTAAATACAAGTTAACTTCCCTTCTGTATTTCCTCCTTAAAGTAATTGCCAAAACACTTAGCAATAATCCTGTCTTGAAATAGAAAATATGGTTCAGAGACTTGAACCAAATGAAATATCGATTCAGGGTGGAGAATATTTTGATGTTTTAGTTTTGTTACAGTTCAGTTGTTTTAGAAAATATGTAGGTTTAGATTTAGTTCAGGCTGGTTCACTGGTTTTTTTGTTTTTAATGGATTTGATTTATAGTTCTGTAAAAACTTTAATATTGGGTTTCGGTCAGAGAGGACACATTCAGCAAAATAGTTGTTTGTTTCCAATTTTGGCTCATGGATCATTACAAGGTCTTATTGTTGTGGTTATTTCCAGAGACACAGCATGAAGTTTGCACCTCACTGTGGACTCTTCCTCTAGGAGAAGAGTAATCGATGTCCTTCACTCCCAGCAGAATTGTGACCATTCATGGTAGAGCTAATGTTATGTAAGATATGGGGACATTAAAAGGTTGCATGATAGGGATTATTTGAGTTTTAAATCATGATAGGATTTTTCTTTTTATTATTCTATAAATGGATAGGAGATTTCCTATAATCTCAAAATTTAACCTTTACATTGGCCTAATTAAACATTGATTTTTTTTTCTTTTTGATTTATTTAAACATACCATTTAATGGGCTTTGCTTTCAGAATTAATGCAGACTTCCAGGAGAGCCAAATGAAAGACTGGTGGTCAGAACTAATCAGTTTTGTCTTCACATTTGCTAAACATAGTGAAGGATTATCAAGTTAACTGAGTATAAAGGTAGTTGCAATACCATTCTTCCAGCCTAAGAATGTTTAATGAAAAGTTAAACTTTAAAATATTGCTAGGGTTGTCATTGAGTAAGGGGGGACGGAGGGCGGGAAGAAAATCCTCTCACTAGAAAAACTCTTTAAAGGCTGGATAAATAGTCAGGAGTGTGTTTAATACAACTAATTTATAGATGAATGTGGTGCCAAACTGGAATACATTAACAAGGTAAGGCTTCGGGGTCTCTAGGTAAGATAATATATTGCTTTCATTAAAAAGCAATCTGCATGGACGATATCCACCACCACTGGAAACTCTGCAGCTGTCACCTTTATCAGGGGAGCAAGAGCAAGCCACTACATTTTAATCACTGGAGTTTGTCAGGAACAAAAAACAGCCAGCTTCCCACAAATCAACAGACATGTATCCTGATAAGAAAAGTGCATTGGAAAAGGACAGCTACACACCACATTACACCACCTATTCTAGGATGATCAAAGCTCTGTAATTGTTGAAGATAAATCTACTCAATTGGGCTTTAGGATGAAACCATTTTCTTTGAACAAAGCAGACACATATTTACACAAATTATCCATGACTTGGAACATGCTTAGGTCCAAGTATTTCTTGCAGTCTGGGAAGAAATAGACAATAGAATGTTAATGCTTGAGGCATGTTCCCTCTACTCTTATTCCAGTAACTTCTTTCTGGTTATGTGATGCTTTGATAAAATTGAGAATCCATCAGGGGGTAAAAATAGAATCAAAGTCAAGACACAAACAGCTGTTTGGAAACAAAAGGCCTGCACAAGTGAGACAAGAATGGGGATTACATCCTCACATTCTCACACTTCTCAGACTCACACTTAGAGCAACAGTGATGGACATTCCAGTCCTGTTTCAATTCAGCAGAATATAAAGGCTTCGTAGCATATCTCTTTGTTTTAGCTGATTTGACAGACTCTCTGTACTTTGCAGGTAAGCACTCAACTCAAAAAATAAAAATAAAAAGTTAAAAACAAGCAAACACACATAAAAAAACTGCATAAGTATAAGGGAGCTTCAAAAAGTTCATTGAGAATTCCATGATCTTTTAATTCTATTTTCTACAAAATTTTTGAAGCACCATCATATAAATACTACAATTTTTTTTTTAAAGAATTGAGGAATCATGATGAAAATGCTGATTATAAGATAGATGTATCAAGCTGACCAAATCAGTTGGAATTTTCAAATAAGAGTGTTTCAAATTTAATGGCATCTTGAAGGTCACAGTCGTGTAGGGAAATGAAGCATATGATGCTAACACTTGATTGCAAAATGTGGCCCGTTTATTTTTATTTTATAAAACAAGTTACACAAGATCCACCCATGTAATGACTAATAAATGGTAAGATCCATTGGGAGAAAAGACCATGTCTTTTGGCTCTTAAAGTTATAATTAATGAGTCCAGCACACAGTAGCAGCTTCCTATGATATCAGAGTAATCATTACAAGATATTCTTGCAGTGATGACTTGGCAAGTATTCATCACAAAACACCATATATTTTGCCAATATAAACATTGAAAATACCTTGAATTAGTTGCTTCATATCATCTAAGCTCATATCTATAATTTAATAAATACTGATCCTTTGCAGTTTGGGTATTACCTACTCTCTAAAAATGTATGAGTGAAATTGGAACTTCCTTGCAAGGTAGAAGCTAGAAAGACTAAAATAAACTTGGCAGCCAGGATAATTATCCAATAACTGATGCTGCCCGATATCACAGAGCATATTTATAATGAGAGTTTCCTGTAATTAAAGAAAAACTAACTGTAAAGGAGTAGAAAGAACAAATATTTCATTCCTGCTGACTTTGGATCGATCAGAAGGAGTATTGCAAAAATAAAGACTTGCCTGTTTATTGTAAAATAGAAATACAGTCCTGTGTTGCTTAACATTCACAATACATTTGAAATAGGACATCATATGATTTGGATGTTGTGCAATCCCGAGCAATAGCACTCACTGGTTTTCCATCTTCATGTTGTTTAATAACCTTTTGTTTCACTTCCAAATCGATAAGTCTCCTTTGCTTCTTGCTTCTGCTATCACTAGCACTAGCTTTTGCTCTGTTTGGGAGCCATGATACACTTCAAGGCAATATTTTCTAAAGAAAATTAAACAACAACACTCAAGAGAGACAGGATACGTCTCTTTCCACACGTTTCTCCTGCGCTCCTAGGCTGTTGCAGCTCACAGTCTCTTTGTGCCCCCCGAGCAACTCGTCTTTGCTGTATTGCCAAGATGTCTCTTTCTAACAAGCTTACTCTGGAGAAGCTGGACGTGAAAGGAAAGCGAGTGGTCATGAGAGTGGACTTTAATGTTCCTATGAAGAACAACCAGATAACAAACAACCAGAGGATCAAGGCTGCCATCCCGAGCATCAAATTCCGCTTGGACAATGGAGCCAAGTCAGTTGTTCTTATGAGCCACCTTGGCCGGCCTGATGGTGTCCCCATGCTTGACAAATACTCCTTAGAGCCAGTTGCTGTAGAACTCAAATCTTTGCTGGGCAAGGATGTTCTTTTCTTGAAGGACTGTGTGGGTCCAGAAGTAGAGAAAGCCTGTGCTGATCTAGCTGCTGGTTCTGTCATCCTGCTGGAGAACCTTCGCTTTCATGTAGAAGAAGAAGGAAAGGGAAAAGATGCTTCTGGGAATAAGGTTAAAGCCAAGCCAATTGAAATAGAAGCTTTCCAGGCTTCACTTTCCAAACTAGGGGATGTCTATGTCAATGATGCTTTTGGCACTGCGCACCGAGCCCACAGTTCCATGGTGGGAGTGAATCTGCCACAGAAGGCTGGTGGTTTCTTGATGAAGAAAGAGCTGAATTACTTTGCCAAAGCCTTGGAGAGCCCAGAACGACCCTTCCTGGCCATCCTGGGCGGAGCTAAAGTTGCAGA